GTTTGGTTTTTTTTTTTTTTTTTTTTTTCAAGGCAGGGTTTCTGTGTGGCTTTGGAGCCTGTCCTGGAACTAGCTCTGTAGACCAGACTGGCCTTGAACTCACAGGGATCCTCCTGCCTCTGCCTCCCGAGTGTTGGGATTAAAGGCTTGTGCCATCACTGCCGGGTCCAGAAAGTAAGTTTGTAGGGTGACGATCTGCCCAAAGCAGGCTGAAATTTGAAAGGACAGTGTAAAACATAGCAAATCCAGATTCATAACTTGCTTTCATCTTGAAGCAGTAATTTGTCCTGTGGGAGTTGTAGCTCTCTCTTGTTTATTAAAGATGGGAGGGAAGGGAGATGAGTAGAAAAAGCGAGCCTTAGCTGAAGCACCGGAGTGAGGCGCTCTGCCTTACACTGGTTTTCCTTTCTATTCTGATAGTCTGGGCTTCTATCAGGGCCTCAGCTCCAGCTATGTGGACAGCGGATGAGATTGCTCAGCTGTGCTACGCACACTATAATGTCAGACTGCCCAAGCAGGGGAAACCCGAGCCAAACCGTGAATGGACTTTGTTGGCAGCGGTCGTGAAGATACAGTCTCCAGCTGGCCAGACTTGTGACACCACTGATAAGGAGGCGCAAGGTGAGACCTTTTCTCTCTGTCAGCCACCATAGCTCGGACAGTGCCAGGCTGGATGTGAACTATAGTGTTAGGTGTTTCCCCACGGCTTCCACCAGGTGGCGCAGTACTCCTGGTGGTGTCGGGGAAACTGCAGTCCTGATGGAGTCCGCTGGGAATCCTCTGGCGAAAGGAGAAATGGGGACTTACTAACCCGAACACTAGGAAGCATTCAGCCCCCGAGAGTTCACTTAATGATTTTTTTTTTCCTTTCAGTGACAAAGGAAGTTGTCTCAATGGGAACAGGGACGAAATGTATAGGCCAGACCAAGATGAGGAAGAGCGGTAAGCAGCGTGGAGCTCTAAACAGTGATGCTGTACTGCAGGTGTCCATGCTGACCTTTAGTCCCCTTGTCAAGGACACGGGAACACACTGGTTCCAGGACAGCCAAGGCTTCCAAAAGAAACCCTGTCTCAACAAAAAAGTGTCAGAGTTGGTGGTACATGTCTTTAAGCCCAGCATTTGGGAGACCAGAGACTGGTGGATTTCTCTGGAGTTCTAGTGAGCCCCAGGCCAGCCAGAGCTACATGGTGAGACTCTGTGTGTTACCAATGCACAAACTAAGTTTGCATCTCAGGACGCACATGGGAGAGGGAGAAAACTGACTGAATTGTCCTCCGACCTCTGTCTGCGTGCATATTGTGCCTCATGTGCACACATCATGGCACATATATACAAAGTGAATAAATGAAGATGTATTAAAATATCTGTAGAAAAATTGAAGGAATCTGGGGGTGTGGCTCAGGAGCAGTGCCCTTGCCTAGCTGCAGAAGCACTAGATTCAATCCCCAAGCACTTAAAAAATTTGTTTCTATAAATCTCAACTAGAGGTTGTTGTGGAATATTACTTAAAGATGTGTTGCATATTTATGCTGTGGGAAATTTCTTTAGTGATGCAAAGATGTGTTGCATTCTTTTATGTTGCATTTGTTTAACTCTGTGAAGCTGTGTTATTTTGCCTGTCTGAAACACCTGACTGAGCTAAAAAAAAAAAAAAAAAAAAAGAACTGAACAGCCAATAGCTAAGCAGGAGAAAGAATAGATGGGGCTGTCAGGAGGAGAAAAAGAGAAGGTTGAGGAGTGAGGAAAGAAGGAACAGAAAAGGACACCAGACTAGAGGCCAGCCACTCAGCTACACAGCAAGCCAAGGAGTAAGAAGTAAAGAAAGGTACAAAAGAGTACAAAGCAACAACTACCAGCAGTGTTTCTTTGTTTTGCTTGGTTTATTTGTTTGTTTGTTTTATTTGTCTGGTATTTTGAGATAGGATCTCAATGTGTAGCCCAGGCTTATCCAGAACTTGCTATTGTTCAGACTGGCCTCAAACTCATGGTTATCCTGCCTAAACCAGGGATTACAAGCACCACCGTGGACCTAGCAACTGATGGCAAGTTTGTACCCAATGCACCCTTGGCATTGTCTAGAAGTATTTTTGGTCATCACCACATAGGATAGGGTATTCTTGGCACCCTATAGGTAAAGGATCCTGTACAGCCTATATATTTTTGTTTGTTTGAGACAGGGTCTTCTCTATATGGCCCTGGTGTGTGTATGTGTGAGACACAGGGTCTCTCTACGTAGCTCTGGCTGACCTAGAACTCACTCTGTAGACCGTGTTGGCCTTGAATTCGCAGAGATCCACCAACCTGTGTCTCCCAAGTGCTGAAAGGGTACTGCTGTATGCTGCCGGGCTCGCTCTCCAGATCCGGGTCTTCATTTCCTCCATATCTCCTGTCTCTGCCACACAGGAGACATCCTCAATGACAGCCATGCTGAGATCATAGCCAGAAGGAGTTTCCAGAGGTAAAGCCATATTCCCCAAAAACATGTCTGGGGGTGGGGTTTGCGTGTCTAATAAGCTTGAAGCTAAATGTAGATTGTGTCACTCTGAACTGCCAGAGTTCAGATTAGTGCTTTTCAGACTTGAGTGTGCCTCAGTACCACCTGGTAAAACCCAAGTTTCTTGCCAGGCATGGTGGTGCACGCCTTTAATCCCAGCACTAGGGAGGTAGATTCAAGAGGATCTCTGAGTTCAAGGCCAACCTGGTCTATAAAGCTAGCCCCACCACGCAACCAGGGCTTTTACACCCTGTTTTAACCTTGTCTTGAAAACAAACAAGCAAAACCCCCAGGTTTCTGGGGCCACGGTGTAAACTTAGTAATGAAGTTCTTCTAGTAAGTACATCAGGCCTTTGAGTTCAAACCCAGCACAGGGATGGAAGTGGACAAGGTGGCTGGACCTACCTCCTGAGATCTGATTTCAGTGGATCCAGGGCGAAGCCTGAGGTCTTCCTGACCTTTACAAAGGACTCATAATCATTCTCATAATGCCAGATCACTGCCAGTCTCCTTGTTCGGCTGTAATGCTTCCTGTGATCACCCAGCCAGAGAGCTCTCTTCACTGCAGACATTTGTTTATTTCTTTCCCTCCATTTAACTAATTTTATAGTGCTGGGAGTCAAGCCAAGGGCATTGCATATGCTAGGCCCTCGGTATGCATGTAAAGTATCCTGAGCTACATCACCAGCCTAACCGTTCACTCTGATCTTGCAACCCTCAGATACCTTCTCCATCAGCTCCATTTGGCAGCCGTCCTGAAAGAGGACAGTATCTTTGTGCCAGGAACTCAAAGAGGACTGTGGAAGCTCAGACCTGACCTGTCTTTTGTGTTTTTCTCTAGCCACACGCCCTGTAAGTATAGTCGAGCCTTATCTCCAAAATACTTCTGGGTGGCCAGGAGGTTGTGGCACACACCTTTAATCCCAGCACTCGGAAGGCAGAGGCAGAACTCTGAGTTTGAGGCCAGCCTAATCTACAGAGTGAGTTCCAAAACACTGAGAAACCCTGTCTCGATAAACAAAACAAAGCACAAAAAAACTTCTGGCTGAATATACCTGCAACTAATGGTAGTGATTATTTATATACATAATCACATTTCTACTGGGAGAAGCAGAAGGGAAATACAGGGAGGTGTGGCGTCTCACCCTGTTCTCGGAGTTGAGATTGGGCAACTTCAGTTTACCCCTACAGAGTACAGCATCATTACTGGGACTCATGAGCCCCGAGTTGTACAACAGTAACTCATCGGAAAGCCCCCTTCACTCATTCATCTAGGACTGTGTGCACTCTGCCACTGTGGATCTGGCGGTCAGAGGTCAGAGGGCAACCTGTAGTTAGTCTCAGCTTCCACTAGGTAGGGTCCAAAGGTAGACCTCATCAGACTTGGCAGCAGCGCCTTTGCCTACAGCCAGCTCACTGGCCTGTGAGACAGGTGTTTGCTAAATTCTCCTGGCTGGGCTTGAACTTAATATGTAGGGCCCTGTTGGCCTTGCGCTTTAGCAAACTTCCTGCCTCAATCTCCCAAGTGCTGGCAATGCAGGCACACTCCACACACACAGGGTTTTTTGTCTTTTTAAGATAGTATTGCTGTTAGTCCATCTTGTCTTGAGCTCCCCAGGTTACAGGAGTGTGCCACCACGGCTGTCGTGAGCAGATGTTCTCTGTTCCTCACGCTGTAGGGCATAGCAAGTCTACAGCAGTGAGGAGGGGCTGGGGAGAACTCAGTGGTTCTGTGTCTGCGGGGTGCCGACCTCTTAGTGTGAGTAAAGACCGGGAGGGTCGCGCTCATGAGTGAGAGGCAGACAATTGAGCAGCTATAGGAGAGAGGAGGGCAGTTGCTTAGACTCCATGATTGTGAAGGAGGAGGAGGCAAAGATGGCTCTGGGTTTCTCCTCAGGGCCCTGGAGGAAGGATGACAACTGTGTGAGGAGAAGTGGGAGAAAGAATAGCTGTGGCGTGGGTGGGGGCTCTGTGACTTGTGGTAATTGGTTTTTGTTTTTAAAGATCTTAAATGAGAAGTGGCAGCCTCTGTTAATCGTAAAAGCTCTGGAAATTGTTTTTCTGGGAAAAGAAATCTTCAGTCCCCTTGGCTCGTGTGTAATCTCCTACCACGTGGTGCCGTCCACCCCACCCGTGGTTTATCTGTAGGAAGGACGCGCACTGCCTAGCACATGTGACTCTAGCTCCCCTGACATTTACTTCTCGTTGCTAATTAGGAGTTTGGTGTCTCAGTTAGCTACTTTAGACTCTCACTTTCGTGTTTTGTTAGAGTGAGTCAGCCCCTTATATCCAGGCATTCTGTCGCGATCACATCTCTGAGCTTACAGAGTAGGAGGTGGACCCAGTGAATTCTCCAACATTGCTGTCACCTTGTAAGGTCTCTGGAAGTCAGCCAGGCAGCCTCTCCTGTGGCATTTCTCCTTCTCTGGTTATAAAGAATACAAGTATATTCTTCCCACACTGAAAAAGCAACACACATTGGGTTGGTATTTGAAGAAATAGCTCCCTTCTCAAGGGAGCGCTGTGCTTTCCCCTGACCTCAGGTTTTCTTTGGTTCCCGGCGACACAGAATGGATTAGACATCTGTAAACCAGCAAAGGAAAAACATTAGAGGTTTTGCAAACACTGGTGTTTACTGGCCTTTGCAGTTTATTGTGGGTTTCTACTGTGGGATATACATCATAAAAATTCCTAAGATGAGGATATTTTGAATAATGTTTGTCAAATTTACTCAACCATGAAATAAGCCACTGTTGTTTTCTTAGGCATCTTACAGGATACCAGTCCACAAAATGCCCTCAGGAAACTTTTCTCATCGTAGGAGAGGTGACTCAATGTTTAAGGACATCTGCTCTTCTAGAGTACATGAGTTCAATTCCCAGCACCCATGCCGGGCAACTCAAAGCTGCCTGTTAGTCCCATTTCATGGGATCCAAGACCCTCTTCTTCTGGCCCTTGTAGGCACTTGCACGCATGTGACTCTGAGACAAACACACATACTTTTTTAAAGTCTTTTATTTTTTAAGACTTCCCTTAAAATTGTAGTTCTTAGATGAGAATACTTTCACTTTCACTCCGGCTCCCATGCTTTGGATTACGTGTATGTACAACCTGACTGGGTCTGCAAACACCTTTGATTGTCAGACTCGGGGACTATTAGCATCTAATGTATAGAGGCTTCATAGTGGCTATCATACAGTCCAGAAGAGGGCACCAAATCTCATTACAGATGGCTGTGAGCCACCATGTGGTTGCTGGGAATTGAACTCAGGACCTTTGGAAGAGCAGGCAGAGCTCTTAACCACTGAGCCATCTTTCCAGCCCCTGTGGCTATCATACAGGACACATGTAATGTATAGCGGCTGTCATACAGGACACATTAATGTATAGCAGCGTCATACAGGATATATCTAATGTATAGAGGCTGTCATAGTGGCTGTCATACAGGACACATCTAATGTATAGAGGCGTCATACAGGACACATCTAATGTATAGCAACTGTCATACAGGATATATCTAATGTATAGCGGCTGTCATGCAGGACACATCTAATGTATAGCGGCTGTCATACAGGATCACCTCCATGGCACATAACTACCTGCCTCACAGTTTCATTAGACCCAGGCATGGTGTGACACACTTGTGATCCCAGAACTCAGAAGGCAGAAACAGGAGGTCAGGAATTTGAGGCCCCTCTCAGATAGTAGGGGGTTTGAAGCCAGTCTCAGTTACAGGTGGTCTTGTCTCAAAAGAGAAAACAAAAATTTCTCGAATGTGGAGACTAAGAAGCCCTGCTCTAAACTGGTGTTCCTAAAACTTTTTGTGGTAGAAATTACTTAGGCCTTTGTTGAAATATTCAGTTTTCCATAATTCTCTCATCAAGAAGTTTTCTAGGGGAGAGGTTTCATCAAGACCTCAGCAGGGCTTTTTTTTGTTTTTTGTTTTTTCTGAGACAGGGGTTCTCTGTGTAGTGTTGGCTGTCCTGGAACTCACTCTGTAGACCAGGCTGGCCTCGAACTCACAGAGATCTGCCTGCCTCTGCCTCCTGAGTGTTGGGATTAAAGGTGTGCGCCACCACCTCCTGGCTGACCTCAGTGATTTTTATTAGAACTTTAGCACATGCACTAGGTTTTGTTTGTTTATAGATGTGTGTCTAGCTAATTTTTTATGTGAGTTTCTGTGACCACTTGCATACAAGTGCCAGCAGAGACCAGGAGTGTCAGATCCCCTGGAACTGGAATTGTAGGACATTACAAACCCCCTGATGGCGGGTGCTGGGAACTGAATGTAGACCCATGGAAGAACAGTGCTCTTAATTGCTGAGCAGCTCCAGCTCTAATGCTAGTTTAGCATTGAAGAAAGAAGCCGGGCAGTGGTGGCGCACGACTTTAATCCCTGTGATCTCTGTGAGTTCGAGACCAGCCTGGTCTACAAGAGCTAGTTCCAGGACAGGCTCCAAAACCACAGAGAAACCCTGTCTCGAAAAAACAAACAAACAAAAAAAAAAAAAAAGCATTGAAGAAAGAAGCGTGTCTGTAGCGGTCTCGTGTATAAAATGCTTTCCATACAAGCATTCAGCCTGAGTTTGAATTCTTAGAACCCACGTAAAGCTAGACACTAGCACATATCTGTAATCTTAGCACTCTTATGACAAAATGGATTACTGGCTTATGCATCAGGGAACAAGATCCCATGTCCCACAGAGAGGAAGGTGAGTACCAACATCTGCGGCTGTCCTTTGTTCCCCTCACATGTGCCACGGTGCGTGCATACCTGCATGTGGTATGCAGCTTTTGGTTTTGTATTTATTTGTTTCTTTTTCAGTGGTGGTCACAGTCAAGCCTGGGCTTTACCTATGCTTTGCCCCTGAGCGCATCACCTGTCTGCCTCGTTATTCATCTCAGTTCAGCAGGGAAAACAAATTGACCTCGGTTTGAGGTCATACATCTCTAACTTGAGCTTGCATCAAATGGCCTACTCAGCTTATTAAAACAGACTTCTGGACCCCACCCTCAGAGTGTCTGATTCAGCCTGTCCATTAGATCCCAATAATTTGCTGCACACACTCACACACACACACACACACACTCACACACACAGTGTTGAGGATTGAACTCAGGATCTCCTACAATCACTAGGCAATCAATACCATTGAGTTATCTCTCCAGCCTTACAATTTGCATGTCTAATTCCTAAGGTACATAAATGCCACTGGTTGGGGAGGCTCATTCTGAGAATTACTGGTTAAAGGCTTCCTCTCATGCAGGTGGGGACGCCTCCATCATCCCAATGCTTGAGTCTGAAGAACAACCTTGCTGTCCTGTCGTCAGAAATTGGGCCAACAACTCATCTGTAGAAAGGAGTGAGAATCTAGAGGATTCCAAAAATAAAAGGAATTGTGAGGACCCTGACAGTCCTGTAGCCAAGAAGGTGAAGCTTGGAACTCCTGCCAGGGCGCTCTCCGGCTGCGTGGCTCACCATGGGATGCTGGGAAGTGGCAAAATCAAACCAGATATCAGCAGCTCTAATCTCACCAAGGAGGAACTCGCCGCTGCCGAGGGAATAGCTCCAGGTAGTTTCAGAGTGGTGGATGTGTATAGAACAGGAGCCAAGTGTGTTCCTGGAGAGACTGGAGATTTGAGAGAGCCAGGCGCTGCCTACCACCAGGTGGGGCTGCTTCGAGTGAAGCCAGGCAGGGGCGACAGGACGTGCTCCATGTCCTGCAGTGACAAGATGGCAAGGTGGAGCGTCCTCGGATGCCAAGGCGCACTGCTGATGCACTTCCTGGAAAAGCCCATCTACCTGTCCGCCGTGGTCATTGGGAAGTGCCCGTACAGCCAGGAGGCCATGAGGAGAGCCTTGACTGGCAGGTGAGGCTGTGGGATGGTAGGAGTGCAGAGAACCAGGAGAGTCTCCCCTGTGGACTCAGCTGGTGCTGAGATGTCTTGGTGTTTTTTCTTAAATAATTAAGAAAGTATAAATCTTAGGTTTGTAAATACAGTAACTTGAAAAGGAAACCAAAAATGCTCTGCAGTTGAAAATTAAGTGCTTTCTTTTGTTAAAAATAGTATTAATGAATATTTAATGGAGAAAGATGTTTATGATGTTTCAAGAGCAGTTTAGAAGATGGAGTGAGCTCCGTCTTGGTCTTAAAATATGTATGTGTACAGAAAGCTGTAGGAGGCTTGACAGCAATAGTTATCTCTGAGTCATGGTGTTGTGGGCTGTTTTTCCTCTTTGATAATGCTGTACGTTATCATTTTTCTACTGTGTCTTCTACAGTAAGCAGAATAATTGCCAGGGCTGGGAAATGTATCCCAGTTGGAAGAGTTCTTACCTAATGTGAATGAAACCCTAGGTTGAATCTCAGCACTGCAGAAGACTGGCCGTGAAGGCATAGACTTCTAATCTTAGCATTTGGGAGGATGAAGCAGGAAGATCAGAAGTTCAAGGTTACCCTTAGCTACTTAGGGAGTTTGAGGCCAGCTTTGGCTGAATGAATCCAGTCTCAAAAAACAAAGGAAAAAAAAAACTAAATAATCCAAGTGAATTTGAAACCAACCTGATCTGCATAATGAGTTCCAGGACACCCAGGGTTAACCCTATCTCTAAAAAGCAAAACAAAACAAAACAAAAAAAAAAAAACAAATATTAGTTTTAGCCTGGCCTTGGTGGCACACACCTTTAAGCCCAATATTTGAGAGATAGAGGAGGGCAGATCCCTGTGAGTTCAAGGCCAGCCTGGTCTACAGAGCAAGTCAAGACAAACTCCAAAGCTACACTTTGTAGCTGTCTGAAAAAAAAATAAAAATAAAAAAAAAAAATAAAACAAACAAAAATATTAGTTTTAATCATGGTACTCAGAAAGCTAAAAAAGGAGAATCTGAGTTCAAGGCATCAATCTAGGCTTTATAGCAGGATTCTAAATCTTGGCAAAATAAACAAAGACCCTGATCCAAAAACAGATAAACAAGGTTGGTTATACACACCACCACCCTGGTGTGCACTCTAGTGAGTGAGGTTCAGGGAGGCATTATGGGAACACAGGCCTGGGAAGCAGATTCCAAAAGTGGCAACCAGACAGAAGCTTGTGTTGGCACTCCCCAACATGCACCCAAGAGAAGTGAAAATGCCCATTCCCACTAAGACATCCACACAGATGCTTATGGCGGCGTGCTAGGAATAGTCCCCAAAAGAAGCAGCCCAAATGCTTACCAGTGGGTACGAGAGTAAGAAAGAGTGTATCTCTGGGCATGGCGGCACAGGTCCTTATCCTCAACACTCAAGACTCAGAGCTTCAAGGCCAGCCTGGTCTACAAAGTGCATTCCAAGACAGCCAGGACTGTTACACAGAGAAACCTTGTATTGAAAAGCAAAAACAAGAAAAAAATAAGAGATCCAGTCTCAAAAAAAAAAAAAAAAAAAAGACTAGCATGGAGTGAACCATTAAAATACCACACAAGTAAAATAAGCCATGCATGTTTGATTCTGTTGATGTGAAATAGCCACAAAAGGCAAGTGCTTAGACATCCGTGGTAGGCTAGTGGAGATCCGTGGTAGGCTGGTGGAGATCTATGGTAGGCTGGAGCTGGTGGAGATCCGTGGTAGGCTGGTGGAGATCCGTGGTAGGCTGGTGGAGATCTATGGTAGGCTGGAGCTGGTGGAGATCCGTGGTAGGGTGGTGGTTACCAGGGGCTGGAGAAGGGCATGGAGAGTCATGGAGGCTGCTAATGGTTATAAAGTTTCTGAGATTTGAAATTCCTACCTGTGCACTGGATTTGCATCATATGAGCACCTAGCTTGTTCAGAAGAGGCAGGGAAACCAACTTCTAGTATTGGATGATTTTAGTTTGGGGTGTGCTTGAAGGATTTCTTAGGAAGTCTGTGTAAACAAAGCAAAGACTAAGTTCTCAAGTGAACAATGAAGGTTGAGATCTCTGACACCGCAGACGAGTATTGACTCAGATTTTAGTTATGCCTTCAGATATTTTCCAAGCCGTAGAGTTCCAGGCTGGGGTTGGGAATATAGCTCAGTTGGTAAACTGTTTGCTTGCGGGCATAAGGCTGTCTGTTTGATCCCCAGCACCCCACAAAGCAGGGTGGGTTATAGGGTATACCTGTAGCCCCAACATTCAGGAGGTAGAGGCAGGGGGATTAGAATTTCAAGGTCATCCCCCCGCAGCATTTCAGTTTGGCTAACTGTGATCCTGTCTCAGATAAATAAGTAATAGAATTCAAAGGTTCCTCCTGTGTGGTATCCTGGTATTTTTCACTCCCCGCTTCAGTAAGTAAACATGTAGATTCACTCAGCTCCGAGGGCCTGTGTCTCTCCTACGGCTTTGGGGATGATGAACAAATCTTAGTCTTCTGGTACCTCTGAGCTGAATGTGTTTCCCTCATTTTTAGGTGTCAGGACATCATGGCTTTACCCAGAGGCTTTGGAGTTCCTGAACTGAGAATAGAGCAGTCAAGTTTACTGTTTGAACAGAGCCGCTGTGCAGTGCAAGCGCAGAGAGCCGACGGACCAGGCCGGCTCGTTCCTTGTGGGGCAGGTAAGGGATCCAGGTTGGCTGACCCTGGAGTAAGTTCTCAGGCAGACTGGCCTAGGAGGACAGTGGTAACTCCAGTCTGTTCCTTGTAAGACACCCACATACGGTTAGGTGTACACCCTGTGAGATCCTGGCCAGGTTAGTTACCCTGTCTTGACCTTCATTATTTTCAGATTAGAAGAATTGCTTGTCCTGGCTATTATGAGAATTAAGAAATTGTATTTAAGCTGTGCGGCAGTGGCACACACCTTTAATCCCAGCATTCAGGAAGCAGAAACAGGTGGATCTCTGTAAATTTGAGGCCAGCCTGATCTACAGAGAGAGTTCCAGGACAGGCTTCAAAGTTAAAGAGAAACCCTGTCTCAAAAACCACCCCCCCCCCCCCCCCCGGGCTGGAGAGATGGCTCAGTGGTTAAGAGCACTGACTGCTCTTCCAGAGGTCCTGAGTTCAATTCCCAGCAACCACATGGTGGCTCACAGCCATCTATAATGAGACCTGGTGCCCCCTTCTGGCTTGTGGGCACACATGGAAGGAATGCTGTACACATAATAAAGAAATAAATATTTAAAAAAAAAAAAAACACCCCCCAAAATTATATTTATACATTTATTTTGTGTCTAGCATATAATAAATTTTCAATGATATTGTAAACTAGGAGCTTAGCAGGTAAAGGCAAACTTGCCAACAAACCTGGTAACTCGAGTTTGATGCCTGGAATCCACATAGTGGAAGCAAAGAACCCAGCTCCCCTTCTGTTGTCCTCTGACTTCCACATATGCACCGGGACATACATAGGCCTCTCCCAATAAATAAGTATCATAAAACATTAGATTGTAAGCTATAATAATGATCATGAACCACTGGGCATTGGTGGTACATGTCTTTAGCTCCAACACTCGGGAGGCAGAGGCAGGTGAATCTCTGAGTTCGAGGCCAGCCTGGTCTACAGAGTCAGTCTACAGAGTCTACAGAGTCAGTTCCAGGTTAGTCAGGGCTACATAGAGAAATGCTGTCTCGGAGGGAAAAAAAAAAAATCATGAATCATTGAACCCTGAGGTACCAAGCATCTGACCTAACTTGTTTTTGATGTCATATCCAGCTTTCATGGTGCTGGAGAGTCAGAGTCAGAGAAATATTTTTGTAAATATTGTAACACTCATGGGAAAAGAAACAGGTTTTTATGTTTTGACCCCAGCTCTCCCCAGATACTCCCAATGTGTCACCCTCCCTCTTTCGTGTATGTTTATGTGTTTGTTCTCTCTCTCTTTCTCTCGCGCTCTCTCTCTTTGGTTTGGGGTTTTGTTGTTGTTGGTGGTGGTGGTGGTGATGTCTTTTTGTAGCCTACTGAGCCCAATCAGTGCCATCTGTTGAAATGTTGACTCATCTTAATGGATCTTTTGCGGGTAACCATAGCTACAGTAGGCTCCTGAGTACAGCAGCCATCAGATGTCCAGGACATTTCACAGTGCTCCTCCCCATCCTCCAGCTCTCCCATTCGTCCTCCCTCTTCTGTGATGTCCCCTGAGCCTTGGGGTAGGGATCGATACAGCTGCCCTGTTGAGGAATGAGCGCTCAGTAGATACTTACTCTCAACACTGTGGCCAGTTATGAGTCTGCATTAAATGCTGCCCATTGCAGAGAGGAAATTCTCTGGCCAAGATTGAGGGCAGCACTGAGCTGTGAGTAGAAACTGATTTAATCCCAGGATTCTTCCCTTCACAGCTATCAGCTGGAGTGCTGTTCCCGAGCATCCTTTAGATGTGACTGCCAACGGTTTTCCACAGGGAACAACCAAGAAAGAAATTGGAAGCCCTCGGGCCAGGTACTGCGTACTGGGGCTAGGGAGAGGGTATCTATGAACTCCCTCCTTATCCAGTTCCTTTCCCCTAGCCCTTGGAAACTCCTCATTTGCTTTATTTTCTTCCTCTTCTGGATACTTGGTGTAAATGAAACCATTTACTGTGTGGTCCTCTGTGTCTACTCCATGCACATAGCAGGCTCCACAGTTCATTGGTGTGGTGGGGATTGCTATTTCCTTCATGGGTGGCTAAGTAGCATCTGCTGTGTAGCTGTGCCTTATTTGCTTATCCTCTCATCAGAGATGGCCTTGGGGATGTCTTACTCTGGGCTGCTGTGACTAGTGCTCTTGTGAACAACTGGGTGCCTATTTTTGTGTAATTTTTCTTAGGAATGTTCATAGGAATGGAATTCTGGGTCATGAGGAACCACAGGATAGCTTTTTATGGAAAGTAGAATGAGCAAACTATTTTCTTCCTTTCTTTTCTTTCTTTCAAGACAGGGTTTCTGTGTCTGGCTTTGTAGCTAGCCTGTCCCTGTCCTGGAACTCACTCTGTAGACCAGCTGGCCTTCGCCTGCCTCTGCCTCCTCCCGAGTGATGGAATTAAGGGCCTGCACCACCACCGCCTGCCACGTGAACTACTTTGTTAGCAGCTCTGCCATGAACGACCCCCCAGGAGCGATAGCTGCCTTGCACCCTCTCTGACACTTGTAACTGTCAGGTGTGAAGTGCACTCTCCTTTTTCACCCTGTATTTCCCCAACGTTCTGTGCTTACTGGCCAGTTATGTGTCTTCTTTGGAGAAGTATTTGTTCTCATTCGATTCCCATTTTATAACTGGTTTGTCTTTATTTTTAATTTTTAAATCACTTTTATGTATTAGGTCAAAAGACATTTTGTAGGATTCAGTTCTCTGCTTCTACCATTTAATGGGGCTTACAGTTTCAGAGGGTGAGTCCATGCCCATCATAGTGGGGAATGTGACAGCAGGCAGGCTGAGAGCTTACACCTTCCATGTAAGTAGGAGGCAGAGAGAGAAAGACAGGGAGAGACTGTGAATGTGAATTAGAAGGCAGACTCTGCAGGGCAGCAGAGGCTTGGGGATTGGAGGGGCCCATAGTTAGTCCTGGCACTGTTTCTCCCAGGTACACCTGAGCAAATCACTCAACTTCTCCAAGCTTATTTGCCAATTGTAAAGCAAGGTTAACCAATTGAGAATTGAGTAAGGCAGATACAGTTTGAAATGGCATCCTGCTAAAATTGATTTCCCTTTTAACCATCTAATGATCTTTGTAACGTTATTGTCTGCAGGAATTAGAGCTCACTTTATACTAAGACCGTCAGCTGCTGAGAGAAGCAGGCTCCTCACTACTCATCCCTTAGTGGCTGCATTGTGAGACCACCACTGGGAATCTCTGGGGATCTCAGGTGGCGATATAGGATGCAAGAAGGGTGTGTTTACAAACAATGGGATAATAGCAGGAAGGATTGTTTACAAACAATGGGATAATAACAGAAATCAAAAGATGCTCATTTTGCCGGGCAGTGGTGGCACACACCTTTAATTCCAGCACTCGGGAGGCAGAGGCAGGCGGATCTCTGGGAATTTGAGGCCAGCCTGGTCTACAAGAGCTAGTTCTGGGACAGGCACCAAAGCTACAGAGAAACCCTGTCTCAAAAAACCAAAAAAAAAAAAAAAAAAAAAAAGATGCTCATTTTAAGAAGCTTAATTTTTGCTGGGCAGTGGTGGTGCACTGCACGCCTTTAATCCCAGCACTCACGAGGCAGAGATGGGGATCTCTGTGAGTTCGAGGCCAGCCTGGTCTACAAGAGCTAGTTCCAGGACAGGCTTCAAAGTTACAGAGAAACCCTTTCTTGAAAAACCAAAAAGAAGGCAGGGCGGTGTTGGCACATGCCTTTAATCCCAGCACTCGGGAGGCAGAAGCAGGCGGATCTCTGTGAGTTCGAAGTCAGCCTGGTCTACAAGAGCTAGTGCCAGGACAGGTTCCAAAGCTACAAAGAAACCCTGTCTCGAAAAACTAAAAAAAAGAAAAAAGAAGCTTGATTTTTCACTCTGCCTCATAGAGGGCCTCTACAAGACCAGTCTCAGCAACAGCACCTTTCCCACTGAGCCATCTCACCAACCCAAGGGAGAGATTTTTTTTTTTAAAGCTAGTCAAGTGTAGATATAGAGGGAGACAATGTCAGATGAGGAATTTTTCTGGTGTTTGGTTTGGAGACAGGGTTTCTCTGCGTAGCCCTGCCTAACATGCTACAGAACTTGCTCTGTAGACCAGGCTGGCCTTGAATTCAGAAGTCTGCCTGCCTCTACCTCCCAGAGTGCTAGGCTTAAAAACATGTACCACAATATCCAACTAGGTATTTTTAAAAGTGTTTTTATTAATTCTTTGAGAATCTCATACAATATATTTTGATCAAATTAATCCTCTCCCCCAACTCCCAGATGAAAGATTTTTAAAAAGAAATCTAAAATAAACAAAAGAAAATATAATTTAGGACTGGAGAGATGGCTCAGAGGTTAAGAGCACTGACTGCTCTTCCAGAGGTCCTGAGTTCAATTCCCAGCAATGACATGGTACTCACAACAATCCATAATGAGATCTTGTGCCCCCTTCTGGCCTGCAGACATACATGCAAGCAGAACAGTGTATATACATAGTAAATAAATAAATCTTAAAAAAGAAATATAATCTAAAAGTTCCTATACTTTCTTTTGTAGTAATCAGCAATGTTAGCCAGCTCACAGGAGGAGCTTAATATCTTAGCGTGTGGTCCTCTTTACTAAAAGGACCCCAAGATCTCTTGGAAAGCAGCAGCTAGCAGCAGCCACCTAGAAGATTCTTACGATCCTCAGATAATTCAGTAATTTTAACTGGGTATGGCTCTTACTGATAGCGACATTACTCATGTGGTTACTATGTTCTGCTGTGGAATGAGACTTAAGAAAAGGCTTTCTTTGCTGAGCCGTGGTGGCTCAAGCCTTTAATCTCAACACTCAGGACACAGAGGCAGGTGGATCTCTGAGTTCAAGGCCAGGCTGATCTACAGAGTGAGTTTCAGGACAGCCAGGGCTACATAGTGAAACCCTGTCTCAAAAAAAAAAAAAGAAAGAAAGAAAGGAAGGAAGGAAGAAAGAAAGAAAGAAAGAAAGAAAGAAAGAAAGAAAGAAAGAAAGAAAGAAAGAAAGAAGGAAAGAAAGAAAGAAAAGAAAAGAAAAGAATTTTCACTGGAACAAGTTCCCAAACAGAAGAGGTTTATCGCTATCTACCCTATCCAGGCCATGTACATGGTAGCTATCACTCTACTGCTGAGCTAGACTCCCAGACTCTGATTTGCTTTATAGGCATAACTCTTTTTTTGGAGTGGGGAGGGAGCTAATGATCGAGCTCAGGCAGGTTTTGGCCTGGATCCTGCCCCAGCCCCTGAGTGCCGAAATATTTACTATTACTGATGAGATGACTTAAGTGGAAAACATTCAGAGTTCCTCTCTGTCCTCCAGGGAGCAGACTATTGAGAACCTTTACAGATGTGTTCCCACGAGGCCATTAGACTCTCCCTCTGCACCAGCCTTGGCATTGTGCTACCATGATGGATCCCAGGAGGCCTCCTTCCAGTGAATGGGGCGACATGGTGAGCCTTGATGTGGATCTGTTCTGCAGGCATGAGTATGACACGGCAGAGGTCTCTTGTTCTTGTGAAGAAAGTGTTCCAGTATACTTCATTAATACTCAGTAATAACCAAGCTTAGTAGTACATGCTTTTAGTCCCAACACTCAGGAGGCAGAAACAGACAAATACTTTTCAGACTGAAGTCTTGACTAATTATTTTATTAGTAAATGCATAGAGCCAAATAATAAAGTCATATTTACAATAAAATGACTAGATACATGAAAACTCAACATTTTTGGTGCCTCTGGTGCCCGCCTTTGGGTATGTTCTCTCTAATATCCGACAGGTGACTTTGTTCTTGAATATTAACTATCTGAGTGGTGATGCATTAACGTGGACTTGACTAACACCGTTACATGAACATGTACCAGTAGTTAGTTATATAACTTGTTTCGGTCCCTGGAGACTGTCTCAGCTCAGGGTTTCAGTGGAAGTTTTAGCTGTTGGTATAGATTCTGCCAAGTTGCTTTATTCAGGTGGGAGAAATTAACTTTATGAGCTCCAGCCGGTTTGGGATACATCTTTCTGGTGCATCTGCAGTAGCCCAGCACTCAGTTATGTAGAAAAGCCTCCTGTTTCCAGTACCAACTTCCTGCCAGACAAACTCACTTTGTGTTCTTTGTGGCATGTTAGGGATTTTTGGAAATCCACATGCTTCAAGTGGGATTGTTTGGAGCGGGGGTCAAATAGGTTTTCTCTGTGTAGTTCTGGCTGTCCTAGAACTCACTCAACAGACCAGGCTGACCTCTGCCTCCCAAGTGCTGGAAGTAAATGTGTTGACCACCACTGACCAGCCAAGTAAGATGTGTGTGTCAAATCCAGGAACCACATATACAGTTAGATACACACATCCCCCTGCCCTAGATTGTCCTTGAATGCAGGGTCCTGCTCAGCCTACCAAGTTCTGGAACTGTGTGTACTCGGCCACTCAGCTCTAGCTTTAAATAAGATGGTATCTGTCTTAGAGAGTCCCCATAGCATGTTCTTCAAGAGTGCCTTGTGTTGGCCATTTTTGGATTTTAAATCTGAAAACCAAAATAACTATCTTTCAGCATTGTCGTTCAGACCAGAAACATGGAAGGCAACTGCTAACACTCCCGCCCACCGTGCGGGTGTGTAGGAATACGGACGGGGTACAACACTGTCGGCTCAGCAGTTTGTCACCCCAGATTTGACGCAGGTTCAAGTACCCAGTTATTTAGGCCTTTTTTGGTTTTTGTTTCGTTTTTTGTTTTGTTTTGGTTTTTGTTTTTCAAGACAGGGTTTCTCTGTGTAGCCCTAGCTGTCCTAGAACTTGCTCTGTAGACCACGCTGGCCTCAAACTCAAGAGATCCCCCTACCTCTGCATCCTAAGCACTGGGATTCAAGGTGCATACTCCCATCACCTGGCTATTTAGGACTTCTTAAAGTTTTTTATTACATTTGTTTATTTTTGTGCCTGTGCACATGTGTACTGATTAACCACTCAGGCCACCGCATGTGTTAAGGTCAGAGGTCAGCTTTTAAAGCTGGTTCTCCTACCACGTGGAGCAAACTCAGGTTGTTGTGACTTCATCCACTGAGCCATCACACCAATCCAAAACTTAGTTCTCTTTTATTTTCTGTGTGCTTTGAGTGTTTTTCCTGAATGTGTGTGTACCACATAAGTGCAGTGCCCACGGATGCCCCTGACACTGGAGTTACAGACAGCTGGGTGGTTACAGACCTGTGGGTGCTGGGAACTGAACCCATGTCCTCAGGAAGCGTAGCACATGCTCCTAACCACTGAGCCATCTTTCCAGTCTAAGGCTTATTTTTTATTTCTAATTATTTATAATGTGTGTTTCTGTTTGTGAGTATGTACACGAGTGCAGGTGCCTGCAGAGGCCGGAAGAGGATGGCCGGTCCCCTGGAGCTGGAGTAACAAGGCAGTTGTGAGGCAGCTAACTTGGTTGCTGAGAACCAAACTCAGGTCCTCTGCAAGAGTAACAAGTGCTCCTCCGAGCCAATCTACCTAGCCACAATTTTTTCTGTTTTCCTTTTTTTTCCCTAACAGTACTGAAAATTGAACCTCGAACCTCATACAGAAACAATGTAAATCCTCTAACCCTGAGCGATAGCCCCAGTACTCAATAAAGTTTTATAATTTCATTTCATTATTTTTAGTTTTTGTAATTTGCTTATATATATCTTTGACATCCCCGTTAGATTTATTCTATGAAAGTACATTAGTTATCTGTTGATGTTTAACAAATCATTACAGCTTTAAATAACTATATACTTATACTTTTAGTATACTTTTAAATTACTATATACTTATACTTTTAGTATACTTTCAAATAACCTTATACTTGAGAGTTTCTGCTGGTTTGGAATAAAAAATGAATTTAATATCCAATTGTGCCTTGGGATTTGAGAGGTCAATAGTTGTGTCATCAGGGGTCGCCGTCCCCTGAAAACTTGATTGGGGTGAGAAGATTTAATTATAAAGACGCTCAGTTGTGTGGCTAACAGGTCAGTGTTGCTTGCCAGTGCTCACATCACAGCTCTCTAGAGAGGCAGGATGTGGTGACCCATGCCTAGAATCTTAACACTTGGGAAACTGAGGCAGGAGGCTTGTGATTCAAGATCGCCCTGGGAAATATAGCAAGATGTTCTGTTGGGGAGGGAGAGGAAGACAGAGGGACGACTGGGGGTTCCGTTCAGGTCTGTCTACATTTCTCCTTGGTGGCTACGGAGGGGTGGGATCTCGCACCTTCACACCTGTGATGAGCGTAGTGTGTGGTACCTAGTTATTAGTCAGTGATGTTTATTTTCTTTTTCTGAACAGATCCAGAATCAGCAAGGTGGAACTCTTTAGATCATTCCAGAAGCTGCTGGGTAGCATTGCTGAAGACGAGCGGCCAGACTCTGTCAGGTGACACTGTCTACCCTCTGTCCTGTCTATAAAGCCTTCTGCTCTGGTTCTGGCTTGCGCAGGGTGCGTTGTCTGGAGGTGACCTCCACTCAGCAAGCCAGTGGGTGCTTACTGTTTACCAAAGAGAGTGGGAGCTGTAGCTTTGTGTCGGCGTCCTGCCTGAGGTGTAGGGAAGAGCCTGTTCTGGAGGAAACACAACAGGCTAAGAAGAAGGTTTCCTTTCAGTTCTGCTTCCTTACACATTTATTTACTTATTTTGAGCTAGGAGCTCACTGCCCAGGTTGGCCTGAAACAAACTCACTATGCAGGGCAGCTGAAGCTCACGCTCACAGCAGCTTTCCTGCCTCAGCCTCCAAATGCTAGGCTTACAGGCCTGGTGCTTTGTTGTGGTTTTTTCCATTTTATCATTTGACTGATTGGCTGGCTTTATGATGCTGGAAATGAGACCCAGGGCCTGTTAGGAAGCTACACCTGTGTTCTTTTCCTTTTTTTTTTTTTTTTTTTAATATTTTTATGGTTTATTTAACTTTATTTTATGTGCATTGATGTGAAGGTATCAGATCCCCTGGAACTAGATCTTCAGACAGTTGTGAGCTGCCATGTGGGTGCTGGGAATTGAACCTGGGTCCTCTGGAAGAGTAGTCAGTGCTCTTAACCACTGAGCCATCTCTCCAGCCCCCTTCTTTCCTTTTTTTTTTTTTTATAAGATACATTTATTTATTTTGTATACAGTGTTGGCATCAGCTCTCATATAGATGGTTGTGAGCCACCATGTGGTTGCTGGGAATTGAACTCAGGACCTCTGGAAGAGCAGTCAGTGCTCTTAACCTCTGAGCCATCTCTCCAGCCCTACACCTGTTTTCTAGGGGTACAGACGGGATTCAAATACAGCTTGAAATTATCAAGTTCATGGATCCTGCCTCTTTACTATCAAAAAACTTGATCAAAATAAAACTTAAATCAGTATTTATTGTAAGAAACACTGTCTCTATACAGATTTAGGAGCTAGGCTAGAGGAATTCTTAGTGGCCATGCTTCACAGGCTTCATGCTGAAGGCAGGCAGGATGGTGAGATGGAAGGTAGGGTCTTGTATAACCCAGACTAGCCTCAACCTTGCTATATAGCCAAAACTGACCTTAAACTTTCTGATGCCTCCCAAGTGCTCGGATCACAAGTATGCCACCACGCGTGGTTGGCTCAGTTCTGAGGATCAAACCAGGGGTTCCTGTACACTAAGCCACCTCCCAAGCCCACAGTGAAGAGCTGGATTCAGAATTGAAGGTGATCCAAGGCAAGGGCAGGGGCTGCTGTAACTGGCTCAGGAGAACTCTGGTAGGCACTAAACTTAGAGACCCAGGGCAGAAATCAAGGCCTCAAGAGGAGGGACTCGGGTCCCTGACCGACATTTTAGTCCTAGTCTTTATCCAAAGAAACTCTTGTAAGAATTATTGTAGGTTGGAGGCCCACCACCCAGCTCCCAAAAAAGTACAGAGAGGCTTATTCTTTCTTATGAATGCACGAATGCCTGGCCTTAACTTGGCTTATTTCTAGCTAGCTTTTCTTAACTTATCCTGTCTCCCTTTTACCTCTGGGCTTTTTATCTGTATCTATTCGATATACCTTTCCTTACTTCTTTTTTTTTTTTTTTTTT